GCGAGGTTGTCGTGATCGTTGATTTATTCGGCGTTCGCTGGGTAAAAATGTTACTTTCGAACGGGTGAGTCGCGAATGGTCTCATTTTAGAGCGGTAGGCGTAACTGTGAGGATAGGGGTTTGCTTATGTTTAGGGGTTTGTGATAGTTCATTTTTTCAAAGATGGCATCAGCATAAAGTCTAATTTGTCATTGAGAGAGAGCTCTGTCTTCAAGTGTTTACCAGGTTCGTTCCATAACGAAATGTATAGAGAACTCTGAATCTCAGCCTTGGTACCATACTCTAGAATTGAAAGTTTGCGGAGACGTCAACGTCCACTCCAACTTGCGCTTAACCAAGGAAGTTTGTGATTTCTTGACACGAGACGTAACGGTTCCTTTGAGACATAATCATCGAAACAATTGTTACCGTCTGATAATAGCGTAACTTCCAAGAAGAAATTGATATTAGGTTGTCCCAAAAGTTTCTTTCGTAATTTGCACTCAATTATTTTTTGTGGCAATGTTTATATAATTACACAATCTAATTTCTTAGATGTCGATGTTGTAACAGTAATGGAGCAAAATGAATCGTACACAATTCAATAATATAACATTAGACATAAAATATAGTGTATGTATTACTTATTAATAAAACGGAAGAAACTTTTGGGACAACCTAATATTTTTAAGTATAATACAAGCGATGAATATTCAATGTTTAACTGTACAAGCTTGGAAATTCCTCGAGATCATGAATCCCTCGAGGTGTGTGGACTTGGAGTTAAGAACCACTGCTGTGAAAGCAAGTTAGTTACCCTGGCGTTTCCACCGTTCCATCCAATTTCAACACGCTAACGGTCTGTATTCTTGCGGACCTTCCGTATTTCCTTACCTTCATATCCAAAGGAATGAGAGAATTTTATCGGAAACCAATTTCTTCGACCGCGTAAGGGTCTATTTTCCTTTCCGATTAACGTTAGGTCATCGTCCGAATACCATATACCCGCGATTCTCCGACGTCCATTGCGATCGATGAGACTCCTCGAAATTCTAACGTAACTCATCTCATTCACAGGTATTTCTTGATATTAACTTTTCTATCTGAAGATTAATAAATAAATATTAGATAAACATCTATTTTGTTGCTCTTTTGTAACTCTAGTTTAAAAGAAAATATTTACTCGTTATTTTGTTACGTTGAAATACCAACCCTTCCAAGTCCTTAATCTGATGGACCTCACCGACCATTACAATTTATCTACAGTGGGTGTAGAATGTATTCGTACACCGATCAATTTCTCCTCAAAATTTGGGGGTAATTGTAATTTCTTAACTTCTTCTTTTATAATCAATGATATTTTACATATTCTCAGAAATCTCTAAGATAGATATAGTCCAAACAACATTTACTAGTTAATATAATTTGTGAAATTAACAAAAAAAAATGCGAAAAGTGGGTAAAAGTATAGAAGCAATAAGAATTTTACGATACTTATGACGAACCATTTACAGCAGAGTTTCTAACGTAAACACATTAGTTTATTACTGCGAATTAGAAAACATCAAATTTCCAATAAAGTACTTTTAAAAAAGGTTCTAATAGAGGAATGGAAAAAGATCCCACTTCGAACAACTAATAATTTACTTAATTTAATTCTTAGAAAAGTTACAATAATTATAAAATCAAAAAGAAATCCCACGAAGGAAGTATTATATACTTGTAAATTAATGTAAATTTCTTTTTTTTAAATGAATTTTAAAAATTAAACAGTTGTACGAATACCTATTGCTTCGATATTTCCATCGATTAATTGTTTTTTTCTTGTTAATTTCGCAACTTACATAAGTAGCTGTTTCTTTTTGAAATCTATCTATCCTAGAGATTTCCGAGAATATGTAGAATGTCATTGTTTATAAAAAAATACTGTACACATATATACGAAATTCAATAGCCATCGAATTTAACTTGTTATTTTTCTTCTAACAGATTACAAGTGTAGCGAGTAGTTACAAGAATATTTGTTATGCCGCTGACAATAAGCAAAGAAGCTCCTCGAGGCTAGCTTTCAATCATAAAACGATCCTTGTATTGCTTACTTCTACGGGGCGGCTTTAACTGCGGATACCTCGTTAATATTCCAATTTCTATGAAATATGTATGAAATGCTTTCAGTTATTCGAGTAATTGTAATTCATCCGTCGGGAATATTCATCGAGCTTGCAAGAAAAAGTAAAATTACGTAGTAATTTGTGAGTGCATTAGCATTCAGGACTGCTAATGAGACCTGTCCAAGTCAACGCACTCTGAGAACAATGCTTTCGACTTCGTTAGCGTGCGATTTTCAAACGCACGTGTTTACCTGATTAATTAATTATCTGCAAAATTTATCTGATTAATTATTGAAGGCTGGAAATTATTATACTGCGTTATCATCATTCGATAGAATTTCTAAAGATATTATAATATGTAATATGTTGTAATGTGAATGTTGAATGAATGTTAATATTTATAACCACTAGGTATGTTTATACGTTTTATAGTTGTCAGTTATGTTTATGTTAGTAATTTATTGATTATTCATTCATTTTGTATTTTGTATTGCGATTTGAGTTTGTCTATGCTATGTTGTCTGTTCTCTTTCAATTTTGACAGTCTTACGCCAAACCTCGAAATAAATATCCTTACAATAAGATACAAAAATTATTACGATTGTTACACGTACAAAGTTGGTCCAATTATTTGTTTGGAAGAGCTGGAAATTACTACGCTACGTTATCGTCATTCGACAGAGTTGCTAAACATGTTCTTTCCGAATAAAAGCCAACGCTAAAAATTATGCTGGTGGTACAGCCCACGATAAATCATTGATTTATCGCAATAATACGTTCCAAACGTCTTCTATTCAGGCGGCGTCGATACTTCAACGGGAATGCATAATTCATAGAGCATGCATAGAGAGCAGCACGGAGGATGCACGCTCCAGCAAAAATCAGCATGCATCCTGTCGTCTTTTTTCGTTCCTCCTCCCTTATCTTATTTATACCAGTCCTCTGGCCAAGCATCTTTGAACCAACGTGAACATCAGTTTGATATCTCCAATCCTCCGAAAAGAAAATTTTCCTCTACCCTAAGATTTCCACTAGAGACGAACGAAATTTGAAATAAAAACTACAGCAATTTAAATTCGAATCCAAAATATATGAAAAAAATTTCTGTTATTAAATTTCGCTTATCCTTATTAAATTCCATTAAGGGGTTAGTCGCAGTCAGGAAAATGGAAACGGACAATTTCTTGTGTGTTTTTTTTAAGGTATTAGATAATAATTTTTCTGAATGAAACGTAAATATATTACAAAGTATGTCTTAAAGAACTATAAAAGAATTTTTGTTTCAAAAAAAGGTTAATTCATTTCGTCATAACAGGCGATGGCGTTGGTGGCCACTTGGTTTGCGGTGAGCAAGATTCCTTCAAACTGGTGCACCTGAAAACAAAACTAAAAGATAGATTTAGAAAATATATTAGA